TTCTCTGCAAACTCTCCTATTTCGAGTCATTACATAACTTTTTCAAGTTAATCATTGATCTTTGAAGATGGGATCTCTGGTATCGTCGCAGTCTGCTTTCGATTTATAGAGGTGGGTTGACCTCGTTATCGCAACTTGGTCTTGTTGTCAGGGCGACTTAGTAGAACGCATCTACTCCGAAGTTGTCTGCCATAGTAGTTCTCATGATTTCGAGCATCAGACAGTGGACTTGATACCTTCTCAAACGTTTCGCCGGCATCATTAGTGAGTTTTGTCATTCTCTGCACCAAGCTACGAACTCGTCAAAGAGACAAGTGAAGTCACTCCCCCGACAAACGTTCTGCCAAAAACGGTTACACTCTCACTCCTTTTTGTGTCCTGGCCTATCTATTCACTTCTTACTCTATAATCCCACTGCCGCCCTATCACAACTTCTCACTTGTTTACATTATACTCGACAAAATGTATGCCCTTTTGTGGCAAATATAGTGTGGCCTCATCATACTTGCTATTTACCCCGACCCCCCTCTTTGGATCGGCTGATCCAACTCGGGCCTCCAATCCGCATCTCCTCATTGTCTCATAGATCCGTTCCTTATCTTTCTAGTTGACCGATTTCACTCGGTTCCAGTCCCAGTGTGCATTTCATTCCATGCGCTATTTCTTAAGGCCATAGAAGCACGTACACTGCCATCTCACTAAGCTCTTATTCCAATACTTGCAGATATCAGGCCTTCCATACACAGGTCCTCTCCTTGATTAAACTAATTTTAACTGAGCGAACTATGGACGCCTATCTCTGGTCGCATGCGGCATCTCAAGTGGTCGCATGATATACAATAAACTCCTGAACAGTCAAATTTGTCTACCCTTTCATGTTGCGTTGGTAGAGTTGTGAAAAGTGTTGATTTCTCTTTCATTGCCACCTGAATATTCCATTTGCTTAATATTGGTCGTCGTTTTAGAGTTAGTTCGCAGGAAGGTAGGCGTATTCAATTGTGTGAATCCTTCATCGTCCTTACTATTTTTTCATAGTCCCCGTTCTGCCATCGGCTTTTCATTGCCCGTATGTTTCTTTATATCACTTCGCTAAGGTAGCCATTGCTGAGCAATATCCTCGTCAATTTGTCCAGCTCCTCGTCCCAGAACTCTACATCCGTTAGGCTTAGGCTTTGGATGATCATGCTCCTCATTATTCCAATCTTTAGCCTGTA